TGGATACTTATTATTTGATGATGAGAATGATAAGGAGTAGGTATAAGAACCTACATATATATTTATGAGTAGGCCCTGGTACTCCCAACAAAATTCTAAAAGAGATGGGAATACCAGACCACCTGACCTGCCTCCTGAGAAATCTGTATGCAGGTCAAGAAGCAACAGTAAGAACCAGACATGGAACAGACTGGTTCCAAATTGGAAAGGAGTACGTCAAAGCCGTATATTGTCACCCTGATTATTTAACTTACATGCAGAGTACATCATGAGAAATGCTGGGCTGGATGAAGCATAAGCTGGAATCAAGATTGCCAGGAGAAATATCAATAACCTCAGATATGCAGATGACACCACGCTTACGGCAGAAATTGAAGAAGAACTAAAGAGCATCTTGATGAAAGTGAAAGAGGAAAGTGAAAAAGTTGGCTTAAAACTCAACATTCAGAAAACTAAGCATGGCACCTGGTTCCATCACTTCATGGCAAATAGATGGGGAAACAATGGAAACAGTGACAGACTAACTTTTGGGCTCTAAAATCACTGCAGATGGTGAAATAAGCCATGAAATTAAAAGATGCTTGCTCCTTGGAAGAAAAGCTATGACAAACCTAGACAGCATATTAAAAAGGAGATATATTACTTTGCCAACAAAGGTCTGTCTGTCAAAGCTATAGTTTTTCCAGTAGTCATGTATGAATGTGTGAGTTGGACTATAAAGAAGGCTGAGCACTGAAGAATTGATGCTTTTGAACTGTGGTGTTGGAGAAGACTCTTGAGAGTCCCTTGGACTTCAAGGAAATCCAGCCAGTCCATCCTAAAGGAAATCGGTCCTGAATATTCATTGGAAGGACTGATGCTGAAGCTGAAACTCTGATACTTTAGCCACCTGGTGCAAAAAACTGACCCATTGGAAAAAATTCTGATGCTAGGAAAGATTGAAGGCAGGAGGAGAAGGGGATGGCAGAATATGAGATGGTTGGATGGCATCACCAACTCAATGGACATGAATTTGAGTAAGCTCCAGGAGTTGGTGATAGACAGGGAAGTCAGCGTGCTGCAGTCCATGGGCTCGCAAAGAGTCAGACACGACTGAGTGACTGAGCTGAACTGAACTCCCAACAAGGAGAAGAGATGACTATAGCAATTCATCAATTCAGCAACTATAGAATAAATCAAACTGTTTTGTTTGTTTTCACCAGAACCCTATTTTATTTGACATAACATATGTCTTTATTTTTGCATTAATGAAATAATTATTTCTCAATATATTAATATATGAAAAATTAGTCTGCCTTTAGTGAAATCCAGTATCTGTTCCACTCTGCATAATTCAGTAGAAGTGGAATATATTTGATTTAGTTTTTTAATGAAGTAAAGAAGGTTTAAAAAAATCTTCCTTATATAGAATTTCAATATGTATGCAGTTCTCAAATAAATGAGAAAAGAAATTAAAGGAAGAAGAAAATTGAAAATGTAAAAACATGTAAAATACATACTAAGGAAGAAAAAAATATTATAAATCAGTGTATTACATACTGAAAGTTCTGACAACGAAAAAGCCATTATCCCTGGCCCCTGGAAGAGTGGTCACAAATTTGGGCTGGGATTAGATGGACATGGGCTGAAACCTCGGCTCTACCAGTTTGCTAGGTAAACTGACTTACTTGAGAGATTGAGATAATAATGCTATGGCACTGTTTCTTTTTGGGGGGGATAAAACCCAATAATGTAAGTACTACAGTGGTTAGAGCTACAGAAAACATTTGCTAAATGAGAGATGCTCTTATAACTATCATTTTAAGGATTTAAAATCCATTGTGAAGAAAAAGCCACTAAATAAGAGAAACACAAACAGAATATGGTTACTGCTTTAAAACAACTATCAGTGCTATAAGCACTTCAGGAGAAAAAAAGAGGAATTCTAGCTGATAAAAATGGCAAAGCTTTCATGGCAGAAGTAGCATTTATATTAAACTTTCTCAGTCAATTAGGAGTTGTATAGGGAATAAGCAGAACAAGTCAGGCACCAATCCACATATACAAAGATGTGTATGTGTCTGTAGGTAGAGATGGAAGTGGTGGGAAATTTGGTGATGAGTAAGTACACCATCCAGAGAAAAGGTTACTGTGCTGGTGTGGTGAGGAAGAAGAACTGAGGAAGAAAGCAAAAGGAGAAGGAACATTAAGAATTATGAGAATTAAGTCAGGGCCAAATTACAGAGAAGCTAAAACACAATGCCCACAACTTTTGTCTTTGTTCTCTAGTACAACAGCCAATGAAGTCACAGCAGGAAAAGACAAATTATTTATTTGAAACAAAAGAACAGTAAGTCACATGTAAGACATTTATCTTATGTTACCCCAAAATGTATAATCTGTTTCTTTCCAGCTATTTCTAAGCAATGTATCTCATTCATTGCAGATGAAATCCACTGATTCTCTGAGCTAAAATGTTTCTGTATCGTCAATGGACAGGCTATGGGTAAACAAATGAATTCAGATGAATCAGCAGAGAGATGGGCTTTATATCTTTTTTTTAAAACTAAAAACAAACAAACAATCAAAAACCCACATATCTAGAAAAGAATATTAAATATTCTGAAGAAAAACATTGCAAGGGTAGGGGCTTTCTCCTTCCTGTGTGAAAAGTATATAGAAGATGCTTAAAACCAACTGCTTAACAAATTTTGCAAGAAGAAGAAGAGGTAGAGCTGACTCATGTTGCTTGGCTTTTATTATTGCCACAAGCATAAACATCACGATGGAAAATGAAGTTCTTGGGAAGGCAAGGAAGGATACTGAGAACAAATCATAGCAACTGTCTCAACTCACATTGAAGACCACGGATGTCTCCAAAGACAGCTCTTAACAATCCCATCTTCCTATATACACACTCCACTTTTCCTGTAAGAGGATGTTTTTGCTTGTCCCTGTTGACCTGGAGCAGAATTTGTAGTATTCTGATCAACATAATGTGGAGGAAACAAGATCTGGTGACTTTTGAGCTAAGGCGTTAAGAGGGCCTGCAACTTCCATCTTTCTTTTCTTGGATCCTTGAACCAACATGTAAGAAATCCAGACTCCCCTGCTAGACTCAAATACTGAGCCCTGAATCCAGACATCATTTTAACTACCAGTACATGGGAGACTGCAAGTGAAAATGCTATAGAAATGGACCCCCTGACATCCCTACCCAGCCAACCCACGGAATCGTGAAACAATAAAGTGGTTGCTATTATTCTTGGTGCTGTGTTAAACAGCAATATTTAACCAAAAAAAAAATTAGATGTGGACCTGTGAAACCACAGGAAATTTTCATAACTCTGGAACACAGCAGTCCTCTATGAGCCTACTATTACATTCTCTTACTATGAAGTAAGATAATAAACCCCATGCTCTTTCCCTATCTCACTGATGATGTGGGGTTGAAATCAAAGTATGATTTTGAGATACAATATAAGATTCCTGGTTAAATTTGAATTTCAGATAAACACAGCTTTTTAAAAATATATATATATAATTATGTTCCCATGCAATATTTGTTTGCTGTTAATCTGAAATTCAAATTTAACTGGGCATCCTGTACTTTGATTTGCTAAATCTGGTAATCCTACACACAAAGGATTGCTTTATCTTAACTTTCTTTTTTTTTTTTTTTAAAGAAAAATAATGATTCCAAAAGCTTTGGAGGTATAAATGTACATCAATTCTTTGTGTATAACATTGTTGAATGCAGTTAGAGATACTGGAATGAAAGACACAGTTGTTAATAGCTCATAGTAACAACTTTTTCAAGTTCTAGGAAGAGCAGATGGGGTAGAATCCTGAACATAGAGAATGAAAATTACACAGCTACCCAGGAGGATAGTCCTGAGGGTGAGAATTCCTGAGTTGGGTGTAGGTTATGGCTGGGTATTGGTTCAGTGCTCCTTCCTCAGGCAGATTGCCTCACCATAATAGCCTGATTTCTCATTTGCATCTTAAGACAGGTTGTGCTAAATTCCTTTCAGCTCTTACATTCCATGATTTTAAGTGCTGATAGTAGAACTAGGATTTGCATTTGGGTCAAAAAGTTGAGAAACTGGAATTTCCCCAGCCTTCAAAATTGTGCTTTTACACAGCAATTATTACCTGGCTGAGGATCCCTATTTATTCTATTTCCAAATCTACTTCTGAATTAAAAGATTGCTCAGGCTATTTTACTAAATTTTCCCACTAGACCACAAAAATATATTGCATTAAAAGCTTATGGGTGAAAAGTTTTTGCCCTTCTTTTATAAGTTAATGGTGACCAAGTTAAAGCTGTATGTGCAAAGGAACTCCAGTTATTAAATAGTGGAAAGGAACAGAAAGCAAACGTCTTTAAAAATAGCTAAGTCTTCATATCTCTGGAGGAAAAAATATATAACTTGTGGCATAATACTAGACTTCTGTTATACTTAATAAATCCTTTCTAATCCTATGTTCATTATAACCTAAGGTTAAAAGGAGCCTTAACTTAAACAGGAACTAATTTCTGAAGCATCCTGAAGAGTTAGAAGGGGAAATTGGTAGGGTCTCCAAATGACTAGCTGTTTCCTTTAAGCATTTGGATAATAAAAAAAATAAAATAAAATGTTAGATTTTTAATCTAATATAATCAAGTTACCAACAGTCTCTAAACATTTACTATGTACCAGGCACTTGGAGGCATTTCATTTCAACCTCAAAGCCCTATCATGTATTATTAATTCCATTTTCTGGGTCTGGAGAGGCTTAGAAAGGTGAAATCTGTTCCTGAGATCTCATAACTGATGATAGCAGGGCCAGCATTTGAATGTAACCTTGCCTGATATTGTCACTTTCTCCTACTTTATGTTTGCCACAAAAATGGGTGAGTTACGTAAATGTGGAAAGTATATTTCACTGTTCTTGCTCTGTGTTCTAAATTAATGTAAAAAAAAAAAAAAAGGTTATTTCTACTTGGTGTTTGTCTCCACATCTTTCTTTTCACTCACCTGTCTGCGAAGGTCTCTTGTCTTCTTACACATATTTTCTATTGCAATATTCAGGGTATTACTCCTTTCCTTTTTTCCAGTCTGCAAGGGAGAAAAAAAAAAAAAAGGCATAAGCAATGGTATTGAATTACTCTTTATCACTTAGCAATCTGCTTTCTAAATTTCCTGAAAATAACAGCTTGAACATTCAAGAATAGGTCTCAAAACTGCTATGATACTGCATATGATTCATGAGTACTTCACTTAAGAGTAAGTTTGAATGGTGGTTAAAGTTCACATTATTTTCTTCTTTAAGCTTCTGTAATATTTTTGATATAGGGTCGGACTGCATTCAGAGTGGCAGTAGGCAGAGCATTATCTCCAAGAAACCCTGATCTTCATTCTTAACAAGTCGACTCTAACTGCAAAGCATACAATTAGCTTAAAAGCATTAGATGCCCAATTTGTCAACTTCTGTGGGAGTTTCTGAAGTCATTTTCGTGGTGTATTGTGTAAGTTATGCAGAGCCATATTGGAGTTTTGCTAAACACTAAATAAAATATGCAGTGCAAATTCATACAATTTGCAAAAGTTGACCACAAATTTAGCTGACAATATTCCAAGAACAAATTGTTTCAAGTAAAAACTGGACGCTGTTTTTGGCTCTTTGGGATAATTTGTGCAACACCTTCTTGTCCTTTAAGCCGAACAGTTCTATTATATCCTTAACCTAAATCTTTAGACTATTAAGCACATAGAGAGTCACCTTGGTTGATATTTTCTACATATTACTTTTGTGGGAGACAACCGAATTGAATCTAATCATACTTTTCTAGTGATATCTTATATAAAGGAGATTGAAAAAAATCATTATGTGATTCACCTCTAGGAATATTGCTACTATTTAAAATTACAAACTGAAAGGGCTCTTGACAGGAGACCCTGAAAATCAGGAAAGCAGGTTTAAGCAGCTGATATCCGAAGGAGTTTACATAACAGACAGTATGAAAGGGCATGGAAAGGAAGCATAGAACATTAGGCAATGTGCCATATGATATGAATCCATATATCCAAGTGGAAAGACTCCTTTAAAAGAAGTTCAAGACCATTTATACTCTACCCAAATCTGTGTTTTTAGTCAAATCTTCTGCCACGTCATTTTAAGTCCTATTCTTAACAGTAACAATATTTCTATACACTTCTCTCTCTTCTCCCAAGTTCTTACATATATCTTTGATTGTCGCAAGTGTCTCCCCAAATCATTTTCTATTAAAATCTTACCTGTTTCCTAAAAAAAGTAAAATAAAATAAAATCTTACCTGTTTCTTAATGGTTTCCACTCAGAGTTACCCCCCCCCCCTCCAATACCTGTGCTCAAAAGTAAGCCCTCACCTCTCCTTGTTCTGATAAAATGATCTAATAGCATTTAAAAATTTTCCCAAAATGCTCATTTTGTTTCTGTACAGGTTAATCACCTTTACAGTAATGTTAGAATCTTGACATTGGCAAGTATATCTTTTTTTTTAAATTCCTGAAAGTAACTTGTATAGAATTTATTAAATAGTATTGACTAGTTTATAAATAAACAACTTGATTCAAAACACAATATAGTTTTATTAAGAACCTACTACAAGAGATTTTAGCATCTGCTTATCAAGGCACAGCTAAAATCCTCTGTTAGCCAAGGTTGCTGGTACCCATGTAAACCTCAGTTAGATCTAGTTTTGCTCAGCAGTAACAGTACTGATATTTATGATTCAAAAGCACCACCATTTCAGCCCATTCAGTACACAGAAAGTTATGGGGCATCCACAGACCAGTCTACTAAATTCCAGTAACAATGCCCAGGTACTATGACAGCCAACGATTGACCACACTCAATTCCAGATACCTCGTGGGGGAAGCACAGTAGAGGGTTACTAAGTCCGTGACCACATTTTCCTTTTGAGAGTGAGTATGCAGTGTATGCATGGTGGAGACTGTCGCCAATGAATGAAGTGAGGAAAGGAAGAAGGGAGAAGTAGGAGAGAGAAATAAAATTCTAAATGTCAGAGCAATAAGGCCAGGGTGGCAATTACTTGGATTGCCACCAGTACAGTAGGCTATAAGACAGTTTCAATTTGACTAAAGAATCTATCCCCTATCCTCTAGTTTAATGCAATGTTAGCTCTTGATTGTCTCTTTCCACTTCACAAAAACAGAGATCGTCAATCAGAGGAAGGAATAGGACAGACCGAGAGACACCTCCCACCCCCAACGCACACAGGCATCAGGAATAACACGAAAGATTTCTGTGGTGTTGGTCATAAAAACTCACTAGTTTCTGTGATATGATTCATCAGAACAACTAAAAGATGTCAACTTCCTCAGAGTTAACAGCAAAGACATAGAAAACTTTAATAAAGGATGACAGTGGGTGACAGCAGAAAGAGATTAAATAAGGACTGTAAAGATGATTTCCTAATTTCTCCTCAGAGTTTCACCTTAGTTTAAAAGGTTTAATTGGGTCAAAGACATTTTGTTATCCAGATAATAAAAAACAGTCACTATAATTTCAAGAAATATAAAGCTTTCCTTTCTCTCATCCCTGTGTTTCCATCCTCCTCCCCCACATTTCCTCTCTTTCACCCCCAGCTTTTTATTGGGTCCTTGCTCTGTTTATACAGATCTATTTGGCTCAGTCAAGCCATTTTATGCCTCTTTAATCCTTTTGCATGGCATAAAAATAAATAAAGCAAGAAGAAATAGCCCCATCCTACTTAAAAGCCCTCATTCCTTCTGTTTTCAAAGCCTCAACAAATTATCAAGCAATGAGCTGGGACTGAAGGTGAATTGTATGTGCTGAGGTAAGGGACTGAAAGAGCAGGATATTAAAACATAATCACAGCTAACAGTGAAGAGCCTGCCTATATTCCCAATGCTCAGAAGAGAAGATGCCCCTCAAAGGAAGCTTTAACAGAACATTTAGGGTCAGCACAGTCCTACTAATGGGAAAATGTACCACTTACAGTAAAGGGCGAGGAGAAAAACTCAGAAAACACAGCACAGATCACCACTATACAGGGAAAACAATCATATTCTTCATCAGTAAACACACTGCAGCAAAGACTATCTCAAAAAGAACAGTTTTGAGTACAGACTTCATTCAATGAAACTCCATTATCTTATTATCGAATATACTAATTTTATTATGAATATTATAACTTTGTGAATGCTATAATATGAATATTCATAATATAATGAATATTTTGACTGAGCCAAATAAATCTGGATAAACAGAGCAAGGACCCAATAAAAAGTCAGGGTGAAAGAGAAGAAAGGTAGGGGAGGGTGATGGAAACACAGGAAAGAGAAAAGGGAAACCTGTCCCAACGTGATCTAGGCTTATAAATCTTAACTATGAGTCTTCCCGTGAATTCCGCTTAACCATTGCTCCCATACAACTACCACAGTCAATTACTCTCTCTCATGTGGCTCCCTAAAGCTACCTACATATTTGGAAAACATCACTACATGAATAAACTCTCCTTGAATTATCTGAGTTTGAGTGTTCCATCTGTATCCTATTTGGGACCCTGGCTAGGGAGAACGTTCTAACACTGGATTGTTCAATACGACAGCTAACAGTCATATGTGTCTATTCAAATTAAATAGTATTAAAAATTCAATCCCTCAGTTTATTTAAAATGAACAATAGCCACACGTGTCTAGTGGCTTCTGTACCGTATAGCACAGATACACATCTCTTATTTCAGAAAACTGTATTCAACAGCACTGTTCCAAAAGATACCTTTGTTTATTCAAATGTATAATGAATTCCTACTTTTTCACAAGTCACCTTTTATTTGAGAATAAAATAATGAACAAGAAATAAACAAACAAACAGACAAACAAAAAAACCAAACTCTCAAGGTGTTTAGCAAAGAAACTAGAGATTTAATTCTGTCCTCTTCTTTGTTCCAAAAATCATCCCTCTACTCCCATTTCTCATGGAATTAAGAACAAATTTTGATCACAGTGTTCAGAGTCCCACAGGATCTACTTCCATATTTATTCATCAAACATTAATGAGATATATTAATGAATCTTTTATTTTCTAGGCAATACACAATCACAGCTTGGGAACTCAGAGCAGGTGAGTTACAGATAGAACCTTATTTCAAATATATCAGTCTGGCTGGAGTTTGAAGAATGTACTGATATTTGAGGAGATTAAGAATAGAGACACATCAAAGAATTAGATGGCTGCAGCAACAGTTCACAGGAGAGAAGAAAGTGTGAAAATTAAAGCAGAAGGTGTCATGAAACTGAGCAGGATCCTGTGGGGTACTGGGCATGGAAGCCTTCCGTGTCCCTCATTTCTTATTTGTAGGGAACAGACTCACACTTCCATGTGTTCCAAAAGGCAGATTCAGACAGATGTTAATCAAGGAAGGGAGGAAATGCATAGACAAGGGAGGAGCAGACAAGAAACAGTCAGTTCAGTTCAATCAGGCTAGTCTGACTCTTTTGACCCCATGGATTGTAGCATGCCAGGCTTCCCTGTCCATCACTAACTCCCAGAGCTTGCTCAAACTCATGTTCATCAAGTCAGTGATGCCATCCAACCATCTCATCCTCTGTCATCCCCTTCTTCTCCTACCTTCAATCTTCCCAGCATCAGGGTCTTTTCNAGGTCAGGTGGTCTGGGAGTCCCATCTGTTGAAGAATTTTCCAGTTTGTTGTGATGTACAGTCAGAAGCTTTGGCATAATCAATAAAACAGAAGTAGATGCTTTTCTCAAATTCTCTTGCTTTTTCTATGATCCAACAGATATTGGAAATTTATCTCTGGTTCCTCTGCCTTTTATAAATCCAGCTTGAACATCTGGAAGTTCATGTTTCATGTACTTTTGAAGCCTGGCTTGAAGAATTTTGAGCATTACTTGCTAGCCTGTGAGATGAATGCAATTTTGTGGTAGTTTGAACAATCTTTGGCATTGTCTTTCTTTGAGATTGAAATGAAAGCTGACATTTTCCAGTCCTGTGGCCACTGCTGAGTTTTCCAAATGTGCTGGCATATAGAGTACAGCACTTTCACAGCATCATCTTTTAGGATTTGAAATAGCTCAACTGGAATTCCATCACCTCCACTAGCTTTGTTCCTAGTGATGCTTCCTAAGGCCCACTTGACTTCACATTCCAGGATGTCTGACTCTAGGTGAGTGATCACACCATTGTGGTCATGATTATCTAGGTCATGAAAATCTTTTTTGTAAAGTTCTTCTGTGTATCCTTGCCACCTCTTCTAAATATCTTCTGCTTCTGTTAGGTCCATACCATTTCTATCCTTTATTGTGCCCATCTTTCATGAAATGTTCCCTTGGTATCTCTAATTTTCTTGAAGAGATCTCTAGTCTTTCCCACAAGAAACAACAGTGCAGCCCTGGGGCAGGGTACTGGTTCCTCCTCAAGGGATCAACATAATAGTATCTTTCAGGTCTGCAGAACTAAAACCCGCACCAAAGGAAAGATGTTCCAAGAGAATGTCACAGTTTGATAAGCTTGAGAAACTCATCAGGAGACCACGTGAGGCCAGGTTAAAGGAGTGCAGGCCCTGCCCACACTGACCCTCATCAGCAACTCTACTCTTGAACTATTACTCTAAAAGAAAGAAAAGAAAGAAAAGTGAAGTTGCTAAGTCATGCCTGACTCTTTGTGACCCTGTGGACTGTAGCCTACCAGGCTCCTCCATCCATGGGATTCTGCAGGCAAGAATACTGGAGTGGGTTGCCATTTAAACACTTCACCAAATCCTTCGAGGTTTGGACACAGTTTTGAGAGGAATGATCCTCCTGTGTTCCCGTCTGCCTGGCAAAGCAATAAAGATATTCTTTTCTATGTTACTGAAAACTCTGCTTCCAAGATTCAGTTTAGCACCAGTGCTCAAAGGCTGATTTTTCAGTGCCAGTCAGGAAGAAGAAAATAGCCTTAAGGACTCTGAATGAGTAACTTGGGTAGGATGATGCTGGCAGATGCTGGAGGGCAAAGAAAAAAAAACAGTATCTCTCACTAGACTGTACAGTCCTTGAGGGACAGTAACTCTGTACATGTAATTGTCCCTCATATTACCTAGCACAGAGCTTTGCACATAGTAAGATCTCAGAGGTTATTTTTTGAATAAATAGAGGAAAGATGGAATGATCCTTGGCAAATCCCATCATATTTCTAGACCTTAATTTCCACACCCATAAAATGAAGATTGGTCCCAAATTGTTCCCATATTTCCAACTTTAAAATTCCATAAAAGGGCAATGTTATCTTTAAAAATTATAGAATATGCTACTGTTTTGTACAATTGCTTGCATAGACATTGTTTAAAATGTGTTGGAAAAATGTTTACATAATATAAATCTGCAGTGGTACAAATAAAAGAAGACATTTGAAATAGGAAGGCCATGATGCTGACCTCACAAATACTAGGAAGTCTCAAATATTAAGGGATGAGGTTAAATGCAAATGAAAATTATCTAATTCATAGTCAAAAGAAATTTTTGTGTGTGTGCAGACAGAAAACCTATACAGAGTTTAAAAACCAAGAAAAAGTTGTTGTTATTATTTTGTTATATTTTCTATTTGCTTCTTAAATGTATGCCATTTTATTCAACCTTTTAAAATGACACATTTCCTTTTAAATGGGAAATCTTTATTTCATGGTAAAGATGAATTCTGATGACCTTAAATTAGTTCCTCTCTACAGAAATAGCTTTAAAATATTTTATGCTTAACACATAGCAGAGGCACAAATTCTAGTTCACATTTTGGGGGCATGAAAGATATACAAATAGACAAACATAAAAACTGAATTATCTTCTAGATTGCCAGTGTACTGAATGGCATGGCAGAAAAACATCCTAAAATGGTATCCTAAAAAAATCTTTCTGAAGAAAGGTTTGTGCTATGAAAATGAAATTAGAACAAACAAAAAATTAA